CTATTAAAACAAGCATGTGATTTGTTTGTTTGACTATACATGTTAGCCTGCAAGAGAATGCGGATATGATTTCATTTTACTCTTAACAACTGAACAAACCATGTTTAAATAAAAGCGCAAGCAGTACATTTAGAGTATTGTTAAAAGATTGTACACATTTTGATATAATACTTAGTAAATGACGAATATTTTACCGTTTGTCTCGTGGTTTAGGCCAACATCTTTACTAAGTATTATATGTAAATTGCTTCATTCTATAACTGCATGAGAGGTGAAACAGAAGTTTTAAGTAAATATGTTGGTGAGGTATGTATGGAAGTTAGCATTATCTATTGGAAGCTGGGAAACATTCATCACGTGTGTGCTAATTGTCTTTGTACTTGCGTGTACGAAACCAGTCTACAAATTTAGAGAACGAAATTTAATAAAGTATAAAACAATAATATAATTATTTCATATTTTGTTGCAATAATCATTTTATAACATTGATAACTCAGGATGAAATAACTAGATAAAATGTATGACCAAATAGTATTGTGAGAACTTAAGTTGGCCTTTCTACTGATAGGTATTTTAGCAGTCAATTTTAAAATTTAAAATTCGTTGATTTGCAAAAGATGTGATTGAAAGTAGAATTAAAAACTTTATCAAGTTTTGCCCTCGTGTTATGTGAACGTACTTGTATCAAAGGTATGTTTTGGTTTAGAGTAAAACAAATAATTAGTAAATGATTTCGAAATGTATTTTTAATATACGCCATTTTTAATCTCTCTCTTTGTTAGTACCTATGCCTATTTCATAGTGCAACATCTTTGTACTCGCATTACCGCGAATACGGTCTCCGCGCTTTGAGCCGTGGAAGCGTTATAAGAGTGACTGTCACATTTTGCTATTCGCTCAGCCAGTAAGAGCTGGCGATAGGTGTTGTTGATAAGCTGCCTTCCGTTAGTTCAAACTTAGTGACGGCCATGCACAAACGGCTATAATATGCTTTTCTGCTTTTATTTTAAATCAGTCGTTCTCAAACTTTTTCGTTCCGAACCACTTCGACGAGGCAAAAGACCCCCGCGGACCACCTACCGGTCCTATCCCCCACCAGCTTTCGCTAGCCACCGCAAAAAATAAAAGAAGAAAAACTCATCAGAATAAATGGAAAGAATGGCCTCGACCATGGCGTTGCGCATCAGTGACTTGTATTGTGGACCAGCCCGCTTACCACCAGTGCTCTGTTGACCACACTTTGAGAACCACTGTTATGGATGCATCATATTCGTGCATGTCATGTTTAGTACGCATGCAATTAACATTCACACATGTAAACTCTATTTTTGATTAACATTTAATTTGGACAATAAAGGGCATCTACATTCTAAAACGCTCTTAAATAAAAACAGATGAAAATATGCGGTTAAATAAGACACCCTTCTGGTAATGTCGACAAAATATGTAATCTTGATTTAGGCCAACATGAATTTTACCGTTTGTCTTTCGTCAACAGAAAAAAGTTTGAAAATAGCGAAATAAAAACCGCTGGGTAACCTGGTATCAATCGAGATCACAAAGACGGACAGACACACACACGTGTATATATATATAGCAACGCAGCCTGTTACAAACAGTCAGTTGTATTTAGGTAATCAACACTGGAACAAAAGTTGTTTTTTTCACACTTTCTATCACATCATGATTGCTTATTCAAAAATTTAATTTAATTTTATAAGAAAACAGATTGGAAAGTTACGGTCTAGTAAACAGGTTATTGTCCATACAGCCAGAATAATTTATTAG